CAACGGCACATCCTGCCGTTGAGAAAAAATACGAGTAGAACTAGTAGAATAAAAATCGAAATATGAAACTACGAATTCTGCAAAATACGACCGCCACTCCAGACTTCCCCTTTGATATCTATGACCCTCCCCTTCCCCATGCCCACCCTCATCCTCCTAGCATTCTGTTAGCCTCCTAAGTTTTCCCCAACTTCTTACAACTTTTTCCAAAGAAGAGCCACTCGCAGGCCACATCATTAGTTGGCGATTTTGGTCGAGTCCTAGCACCCCCCCCCCCTTCTTTTCAGGATGGTATTTGGTACGACCGCACCCCTGGTCCCCTACTCATCGAGCTCTCGAGCGAAGGGGTGTATATATACACATGATACAGAAAAAAACCACAAAAAATCAGGGTCAAGGAGGGAGGGTCGTGTTTCCTTTCTGACCCTCTTCTGAAAGATCAAAAGGGAAGTACGACCCTCCTGCTTTACGACGTCCTTGAAACAAGAAAAATCAACTATCAAAATAAATTTTTCCCGGCGCAAATATGACCCCTCTCTCCCAGCGACCACCCCCTGTTGGGGAATCCCCAACAAAATGGGCCCCGGCCGTTGGGCGAAGAGGATATATGTATAGCGTACTTCAAACACAAAAAAAGGGAGGCACCATTTGCCCTTGACTGCCCTAACCATCCGGATCACCGTCGCCTGCTGTGCGGGCGCCAGGGGGTTTCGCGCTAAGCAGGTACGATACCATATTTAGGAGGAAGAAACTACTCCAGGAGACAAATTTTTAGCCAATTCCGTTCACGGAGAAAAAAGTCGGTCAAAACTGGCCAGATTTCGGATGATTGGGGCAGTAAAGGGTAAATAGTGCCAGAAGAGAAAAGTCAACGAAGAGTTTTTTTCAGAAGCAAATGCGTCCCCCTCGCCTCCCTCCCTCACCCGACCGAGTAAGACATCCTTCCTCGCTATGGATCCTCGACTACGGCCTGCCCTTTCGACTTATCAGATTCTGATTATTTTTCTGCAGCGCACCATTTTACATAGGGTTCCACTTATGCATGTGGTTCACAGTCCCTTTTGAGCTCTGCCAGGGTCCTGTACATGGAGCTATGTCCCGAGAGCAACCGTGTGAAGAAAAAAAAACCGGAAAAAAAGAAAACTCACTGTAAGTGCTGTCACCGATCTGGACGTTGATTCCCAATTGAAACAACTTTGAATATAATTCTTGTAGTTGACCAGTGTCAGACCGAACTCCTTCAATTCGACAACGGTGCTGCGGAACAAGCTCGCCTAAACAAGGGAGTCATTGTGTTAATCTCTGGCTCAGTTGAAGAAATCACCTTAAACTTCTTGTCCGACTCGACGAATTTCCTCTCACGTGGGATTGAACGTCCGTATGGCTGCTCGAATCTTAAAGTCTGTCGTTAGTTCAGGCAAAGAGTGCAGCCGTCCCAAAATCTTACCGGATTCCAGATCACATCCAACTCAAGAAGAATCTGGCCTTTCACACGTGCTGTAAGCTTCTTATTCTTTCAGTGCATACCACCGCCGTTCACAATTTTTGATCTGAAATACTCACGATTATGCCTATTTTGAAAGGATTATTGACATGCGGAATAATAAATGACAGAGGTTTATGGATGAGCGTGGGAGGTGGTTTATCACGATCATCATGAATCTGCAAAACGTGAATGGGCTTCATCCAAGCTCGTTAGAAGAAGCCCGCATTCGGTCTTGACACCACCCTTTCTTAAACGGCAGAGACATTTCCTTGACATGGTCTGGCCTCTGCGAAAAGCTAATCCTACGAAGTAGAGAACAGAATTCCACCTGCATTTCCCAGCGGCGGTGGGAGGCATGGCGCAACCCGAGAGACTGATGGGTGCAGAATCTCCACCATGCTTTAGTTTACCAGTTTTTTTTTCGAAAAATTAAGCGGAACAATTACTGACTACAAGAAAAATAATATGGGGGGCAAAAAAAAACAAATAACATGAACAATGAAGCCGGAGTGATGTGACCCAGGCCAGTAAGCAAGAAGCGTATTCAGACAAGGCACGTTTGCTGTTGGATTGTTGGGAAGATGCCTGATTACGATCCCCAGCCCAGCTCGGAATGGCGGATCCAACGACGGGCGACGTAAACGGCACAATCGCACTTCAGCATCCTGCTTTGTGAGCGGCGGTCGCGGCGCGGTTTCGGCACTAGGGCATCGTAGTCAACAGTCATCACCACCGAGTAACATCGTTGCCCTACTATGAACTCAACATGGCGGAAGTATCACAACTATAATCACAGAGCTCGAATCTTGCCATAATCCTTGATGACGTGGCCGCTTTCCAATGTATTCCGTGACTATAGGAAAAGTCCCGTAAGGAGGAACAAACGCCTTCTCATCATGTTTAGGCACCTCGTCCATCAATGTGGGGACACTTCTCTCTAAGGTCTACCCTGCTTCCTTAACTTAAAGGGAACGCAACAGTTCAATCCGGCCATTATAATGAGATGTATATGTATGGACGTGTCTTGAGCCGCTAAATCCAAATCTGTTCTCCAAATTTGCGGAACGATTCTCTGAAGGGAGTTACGGACCCTTTAATCTTGGCTCAGTTGCGCAACTTGACAGGGATAACTACATGCGGCAAGCGGACGATGGAACCATGGATATGCGACCGTGCCTCAAAGAAACACGAGGTCGCATTGGGGACTTGACTCTGGATGATTTTTTGCTTGTGTTTACAAACTTGAATAGTGAGCACAAAAAATTCGGTTCAGCCGTTTCGCCCTAGTATATCGATTATTTGCCAACGGAAGGCGAGCGATTCTCTTTTTGTGACTCCTTTTGAAAACTTTTCATAAGGCTAACCATTTCCAGAGATTGTATCAATGAATGAGCGACCTTAATGGGTTTTAAGAGCATATGGTATTCTTCACGAAATGGTTCCGCACACTGGTCAGTTTACAGTTTCTGCACTAGCTCAGCGGGGGGGGCAGATATTAAATTTATTATTTAATTTTTTATTATTTTTCGGTTCCAACAGCTTTTGTCGTTCCAGTGATCTGCGCCGCGATCGATGTGGTCATGCCTTCAATGATTGTGATTTTATTCAAACGTGGCATCCCGCATAAAGCAATCGCGGTTGATTTTGTTCTGACATGTTTCCGCCCAGCGCTAAGGTAACTGGCGTATCTGTTGAGGGACTTCGGTTCCTGTGAAACAACACGCCTACCATCTCGTAAGGAGCGTAGAGTAATAGACAGCTTTGGGTCTATTTTGCGAGACGGCGTTTACGACAACTTAATATCCTTCGACGAGGAGGGGCGGGGGGGGGGATATGTGGAGGAGGATGAGGAAGACTCCTAGGGAGCCAGAGGACGAGGAGGCCGACAAGCTTGAAAGGTGCAGGCAGGAGGTCCTTTTTTTGGCGATAATCGGTGGTTTCGAGCGAGAGGTGGGCTTTTCATTGTAACCGTACCGTGAGTGCAGAGTACTTTTTCATTCGCTGTGCTCATTGTGTGAAGTTGTATTGTTTCTACCATTTCGTGGAAGAATACCATAAGGAACTGAAAATGGAAGAAAAAGAAAAATATATCAATTAAAATATAAATAATAAATATAAAATAAAAAAAATTTATAATAAATTAAAACAAATAAAATATATATTAATAATATATAAAAATTAAAAATATATAATAATAAAATATTTAAATATAAAATAATATAATATTTAATATAATATAATAAATATAAATCATAATTAAAAAATTAAAAATAATACATGATGTTGCTCTTAACCTTAAGCGTCTATCATTCATTGATACAATCTCTGGAAATGGTTAGCCTTATGAAAAGTTTTCAAAAGGAGTCACAAAAAGAGAATCGCTCGCCTTCCGTTGGCAAATAATAGAAACATGCGACCGCGTGTTTCTGAAGCAGTGCACATATCCACTAGGCCATCGGCCGCTTGCCGCATGCAGTTATTTTTACTAAGTTGTGCAAATGTGAGCCAAGGTTTAACAAGGATTCGTAAACTCCTTCAGAGAGCAATCGTTCCGCAAATTGGAAAAAGATTTGGATTTAGCGGCCTCAAGACACGTCACATACAATATAATACTAATTACGAATGGACGGATCAAACTAGTTGGAGGTTCCTTGTTAGAAAGCATTTCTGCGTTCAAAACAGCCTCTTCAAGATCTGCAGGGAGCAGTTGGAGACAGCTCCTGCACACTTCATCAATGTCTAGCAATTCAAGCAATTGGGCATATTCATTTTGCGGGTCCTGCGGGCATTTTGTGAAAGATATATACAGTGGGCCTCTAGCAATGCGAGGCATAGGGCACCTTTATTACGAAACCATTCTGACAAGGTACCCTTATCTGGGAACCAGTGCAAGAGGTGCTACGGCATGATTTGTGCCTTGAACTTTCAATGGGATATGGTTCAGATTGATTCCCGTTGGAACATAAGTGTGAGCCGTCTGGTGGAGCATTTTGGCCAGCTTTAGGATTTGACCCATCAAGTTGGTTGATTATGGTGAGACTTTCCACATTCCTTACAGTGATTGACATCTGAAAAATGATTACACACACTGGGGATCAAAAGGGTTCACTCCGCTCTTGAATGGGTGATCTCAATGAAGTGTACATTATAATAGCCAGCAAGCCATTTTAGGCATTTCGAATTGAATTAATTGCCTCTAAAATTCGTCAGGTGCGCGCCTGATTTCCGATTGTGCAAAATAGTGGTCGCCTCATTTCCGATTAAGCAAAATACGAGCGCTTCCTTCCGATTGTGCAAAATACGAGCGCTTTCATACTTCGTGGTTGTGCGATCGTATGAGCGCGCGCTTCGTCTTCAGGGTAATCGTGCCGGGACCGCGCGTCGGATGCTCAAGTGCGATTTGTGCCGTTTACCTTACGTCCCAACGCACGATGTACCTTGGTCTCATTGTCAGCCCAGTGCAGTGGGCTTGGTAATGTGAAAGGAAATAAAGGAAAAAAGTATCAAAACTCACCGACATTAGGGGGATGGAGACTTTGCCAAGGAACTCAAACTTATTGTTGGGGTCCTCATCGTAGACAGTAACCTCCAAACATGTATGGATATCTTTTACACCGCTGAAAAAGTCGTGCAGCACGGCGTGGAAAGAATTCATTGATAAATTTTCCTGATAATTCGTTTCCACTCACAATGTAAAAAGTTTATTCCATTGGGGATTCAATGTCTTGTACTCGGTATGCGTCTGTAATCGTGTGTTCACCAGCTCGAGAACAGCGAACGGATCACTCTTACCACCGAGGTCCTTCGCTATGAGATCTTCGGCTCGGAACACTAAAACAGTATCATATCAGCAGATTAAGGGGAAAAACAACTTGTCATATTTCGAGGGGCACAGTGCGCTTTCACTTGCAAGGCCGCGACTAGAAGAGTTTCGGAACAACGAAAAGCGTCGGGTGTGGGCTCGAGTCGCGCCTGCGGTCAAAACGTCTCCAATATCTCAACATTCTTGTGATAACTTTCGAAGCGCGAACTGCAGACGTTCAACAGCGATTATAACACGGCACTAACCTTTAACGGTGAGCTCTCCAACGTCCTTTATGTCGTCGAAAGTATGCAGGAGATCCTAAAAGAGACAGTACTAGTCACATAATCTCCTTCTTATTTTTCCCCTCACAAAAAACCCATGGAGACGTCCTCGAGACATCACCGTATTCTCACGCTTTTTATGAGTCACATAAATCGCAAGCATCGGCCATCACCCTCCCACCCGCCCACTGTATTACCTCCACCTTATAGAAAGCCATTCATGAAACTACTCACATATTTTTCGACGATGGAATTTCGCACATCGTTATGGTTGAACTCCGATAAATCGACAACAGTATCCTTTGAATGGCTGCCGGAGACGGTGATCAGTAAAAGTAACGCGCTTGATGATTCCTCCAAATTATACCATTTTTGTATCGTCTGATCACGTGGGAACGTGTGCAGATCAACTGCAAACCTAGAGAAAATCGACAGATCCACAAAAATTTTGGTTAATTTTTGAATTATTATGCACGTAGAGATCAATTAGTGTGAGCCAGGAGATCCGAGCAATAGCAGTGAGCTTCCTGAGGCGACTTTAGACGACATGCTTGCTACGGCACACATTAGATTTTTTGACAGGCGACGCCGCTAGCGATGCCGCTGTTGCCGCAACTCGGACCTCCTAACCCAAAATATACTTTCTTCATTAGCGCAACGATACCTTCCAATGGAAGTGTTGGTTCGTTTATCCTGGCACATAACTTCAAGCGTTTCCGAACCGAGCTCATAGATATGCAAATCGAACTGCTCAATCCATTTAGGATCACTTGTTCGCGTGCAGACCTGGAAATCTTTCTATTATGAATAACTTGAAATCTCACTGAATCCAGAAGAAAATCACTCCAATATGAATTTCGAGACTAGGGGTAACAAAAAAGAAAAGTGAAACGGTTTCAAACAGAAGCGACCAGGTAATACTGCGTTATGTGCCTCGGAAGGTGCCACTCTCTCGAGGGGTCATCTTGTTAGCCATGTCTCCTCGACACCCCCCCCCTCCCCTCTGACGAGATATCGCGGCGTGCCCTTAACACTGGTAAGCTTCCCCAATCTTCGGAACATTAGTATTCCTTTCACTGGGCATCCACTGAATTAGCAAGGAAAGCAAGAAGTGCCTCGTCACGTCAGAGACATGACGAGGCAAATTCGCCTGGAAGATGCACCCCCCCCACCGAGGCACAATAGCAGGCTTCGAACCCCGATCGCTGGCCTTGGATTCAAAACAAATACAATATTCTCTCCAGCTCACACCACAGATTTCGCACTGGTAGATCGATTGAAACATCGCTATTATGTAGTCTGAATGAAATGGTCGAAAGCACTAGATTCGGAAAAAAACGTCGACGTATGTAGTGTACTTCGATTCAAGTAGAAGCCTTTGATAACTATCACAAAAAGTTCTGGTACAGAAGCTGATGCTTACTACGGTATTCATCGCCTTTGGTAGTGATGATGTGAATTCAGGATTTTCTTGAAAATAGGACATTTCAAGTCCAGGCTGGAGATACTTTGTCATCTGTACGCGCAGCATGCAGTGGTGTTCCATCAAAGGAGTGTCATTATTTTTCTCCTGCTTCTGTTCCACTTTTTTTAGGCTGCAGAACCTACCCAAGTGAGCTTCCCAATGATCTGCATTTCTTTATATATTTATATCGAAAAAATTATTTCAAGACTGTTCAAAGACATTGATCCTAACCTTCTCTTCATACACGGATTGGATAAAATTCGGTTTGAATGGTCTATAACTTATAATCTTCTTCTATCTGCGGAAAAAACACAGGTCATGCGTATTATACTGATTTCTCTTTCAGTATCTCTTAGGAATTCTCGCAGTATTTCTCAAGAACTCTCTTACAGTATTTCTCAAATGGCTTCATAGAAATGTAAGCATTTTAACATCGATGTGAAATGTTGATCAACATTGTGTCAGCTTTCCCCCTACGCAGCACTTTTCCCAGCTGGATAACATTGTTATCTTGATAAGCGAAGCCTCCAAGACTGAGATTGTGCACTGTCATCGAAATTCCATTCTCTATTTACTTTGTTATTTCATTGGCAAAATTTCACCATGTATAATGCTTTTCAGAAAGATATCGTGGCATTTTTCATAACCTGTCACACAGTAGCATCGGCGAGCACGATAACTTCCATCAGCTTAAGGAACTGATCAAAGTAGGTTGATTCAGTATAATTCGATCTGTAAAAAATTTGCCTTGTCACGTAACCGTGCTGTGCATCTCCCAGAAAAGCTTCAGAGATAAAAGTTTAATTACCCAATTTGACCAGTCTTGTAGCGAGAAGTCTCGCGGTGGCAACATGTTGTTGTTCTTACTGACTATACCACGTCTACCGACCCTATTTTATTGGTGCATCGGCTGGGAATCGAACCCGGGCTGCCCACGTGGCAGGCGAGCATTCTACCACTGAACCACCGTACACTTACAATACCTGCGCCAGTATGAGGATTCAGCTGACTTAGAAGATATTCTCGATTATCTGGTCATACGGATAGTGTCAAATAGGAGGAGGGAATTGAGAAGACCCTTTTCGCGGATCGGTTGCAATGTCATACCGATGAGCGCGGGATGGCCGAATCGCTAATAGTTTGATCATTTCCTTCTCCACGTTTTATCTTGTTTGTTTGTTCAATTTGGTTGTTTTGTATGTTTGTTTGTTGTTTCTTCCATCAAAATTACATGCATTCAAGCATGTCCATAAATAAATAAATAAATAAATAAATTTGGTCAAGCAGGTTAATTGTAATTGAGTTTTCTAGAGCATATTCCGACGAGCAAGGCCTATGCCGTTACTGAATTGGAGGCTTCAGAAGACTTAGTTGCTTTTGCGACAAATTAGCCTAAGGCATTCCGCTGTCATATAGTCCATAGATGAAATCATCATTGAGATAACGAATGTTCGCGGAAACTGTGTGCATAGTACCTGTAATGAAGAACTGACCTTAGATTCAACCTACGCCACGGCTGTATTCAGAAAGACACATCTGGCTTAGCAGAAGTCTTTCATCTATGTCCCTGACCCTGCAGGCACGAGCTATTGGAGGGACAAGACGGTGAAATTGAAGGGCTTAATCAGGACACATGGGTAGCGACTTACATCGCCCAAATCAAGTCAGCATTGGCATCGATAGAATACCCGTATCACATCTTGTGCAAAGGAGATGATGTGACGGTATGCTTTGCTATTCCACCAACCATCTACGAGACATCTTCAATGGCGGAGATCCGCGACGATTTGGTGAATCGCATAGCATCCACCTTAGGCGAGCTCGGTCATACAATCAAGACAGAAGAGTCATATGGCTCAGAAACATATTTCGCGTTCTCGAAAGCTGCATCGATAGCATCTATTGAGTTACCACAGACCTTGAGAAAGATCCAAAAAGTCTATGGTGCTACAAACGCGTTTGTTGCCACGTTTGATGAATATATCGGGTCAGCGTTTAGTAACGCCCATTCAGCATGCAAGGTCAGTAGTCAAACATGCAGCCAATTTCTTGTAGCATGCGATCGAGCAACCTGGCATATTCTTTCCACTCCCGCTTATAGTCAGCTAACTGACCAGCAGCTCTTAGCGTGTCTCCTGGTACCCAATATGCTAGGAGGGTCCTCTCCATCATATACCTTCATAATATGCCTGTACGTGCAAGAGTCAGACCTCTTGCCGCCCTTTCTTGCGATCTATAGCTACCTCCGAGCGAGGATCGTCAGTGGCAAAAGTCTTGGAAAATTTCATGAGAGCAAAGATCGGTGCGTCAGAGTCACGGAAAATGCTCCTAATGGATCCTTACTGTCTGCCAATAGCCAAGCCACCAACCCCTGCCATACTACTACTGGGCGCGATTCAAATCAGCTCTGTACAAAGTCGCTCGCCGAGAAGAAATAAGGGAAGTCCTTGAGGCAGCATCAGACGAAGTGTCCGGGGTCATAATTGACACCATTTTGTCAGCAAGACCCTTTCATGTCAAGATATTGTCCACGATGTACTCTGCCACCCCAGAGGGAATCCTATCAGAGATAATACGCAAATTTGAGTCTTGCAGGAGTGTCATGGAACTAGTAATTACACGTGGAGGGATACGCATGGCAAGTCGAGTATCAAAAATGATTATTCGAGCAGAACATTGACTTCAACAATGGAGACTCCAACGTCTGACAGACTCAGTCATCACAGATGATGACGCGCAATTACCATATGATCCTTCCAAATGTGTCACCGAGATAGCATGGGAACTGGCGAGAGCTAAGCTGGGGCAGTCCGATACATGCATGATGTTCGTCGAAGAGGGCGATGGAGGGAAGAACAAATGGGCAGATACACATCACTTTTTCTACCAGCTCCGAGCTCCCGCACAAATGGTTGATGCAGCTCACGTGTCCCATTATTCAACCGGGACTTTACGTCCATTTCTGGGCCACACAACTCGGACAGAAACTATTGCTCCTCAAGTTCGGCTCGATCAAACCGAGAGCATGCTGGTGAAAATGTCCAATCTCCTGGACTTAATGTCGTGGTTAAACGTCGAAGGACATGACAGAGATGGAAATTATATTGTGGGGAACGGATCTGACGTGATCAGGGTGATGCTACAGGTTTATACATCTCGACCACTAGAAGACTTTCTGCCTCTCTGACATCACGAGGTTCAGGAACAACGGATGCCAAGAAGTGGACGTCTTTGATCACCAGAGCTACTCCTGCAAAAAATCCGTCGCAGGAGAGCTGTGTACTGTTGACACACTCGAAATCGTAAAGATTAATCCATTCAAGCAGGAGGCTTGCCTTCGCCTGACAAGCAACAGCACAAGTCTTCTAGAGGTGAAACTGCTATGGAAAGCACTTGATCTTATTTGTGAGAAGGAGACCGTAATGTTCACTCGAAACACCACTTATGGACTTTTGGACAGCAAACGATGCCCTCACAAAGGATTATGTGTTGGTCAGAAATGTGGAGAAGTAACATCGTTCCTCGAAAATACCTGAACTCAGCAAGTTAAATCACCTCCCAGGTGTCACAGGGTGCGTAGAAAGCTGTGGAGGACTCGGCTGTGATTGCTTCTATCCCAGCTCAGGCTGCCTTTTCTACAGGATATACCTCACTCCGAACGATGACTTCGTTTATGACATTTTCGGGTGCACAAGATGGAGGCC